CATGTCACACATAAGCATAAGTAATAGCACCTGCCCCACTAACCTCCGATATCTTCCAACATCCTTCACTAGTTCACCCTCTGAAGCATTTATCATGTGGTTCTGATCAATATGTGTATTAGTTTCCTTTGCCCCAACCTTTCCTGTCTCCTATAGTAGATCTAGAACACACTTCCTTTGTAAGATGAAGATCTCATGCTTGGACCTTGCCACTTCAATGCCCAAAAAGTAATTCAGCTCCCTGAGATCCTTAATCTCAAACTCTTAGTGCAAATTCTTCTTCAGGGTATCAATCTCACTCAAATCATTTCCTGTAACTACAATGTCATTCACATACACTATCAAAACTGACACCAATGACCCCCCTCCTCTTCACAAAAAGAGTATGATCAGGTTGAGTTTGAGTATAGCCAAATACAACCAATGTACTTCTAAAGCTATCAAACCAAGCTCTGGGTGATTGTTTTAAACCATATAGGGACTTATTCAACCTGCATACCTTTTCTTTTTCTACATTATTGTAGAAACCAGCTGGAAGGTCCATATACACCTCCTCTTGCAAGTCCCTATTGAGAAAGGCATTCTTCACATCAAGTTGAAAGAGTGGCCAAGAGTATGTAGCTGCTAATGATAGAAGAATCCGAACTGAACTACTCTTTGTCACTAGTGCAAAAGTTTCCAAGTAATCTATGCCATAAATCTGAGTATACCATTTTGCAACCAGCCTCGCCTTGTACCTTTCTATACTCCCATTAGCCTTGTACTTCATTGTATAAACCCATCTACATCCAACAGTCTCCTTGCCATCAGGCAAATCCACAATCTCCCATGTCTGAGTTTTAATCAATGTTTTCATTTCCTCCTGCATAGTTGTCTTTCACTCATGTTTGGAGGGAGCCTCACTAACACTCCTGAGTATAGACACAGAGTTAAGGGAGGAAAGGAAGGCCCGATAGGAAGGGGATAATCCACTGTAGGAAAGATAGTGTGAGATACAATGAGTAGTACACTCCTCTTCCCCTTTCTCAAGGCAATAGGGAGATCAAGGTCATCTACAATGGTGTTAGGAGCAGGGGTAGTAGTATCAATAGGAACTAAACCATCTGGAGCAACAAGAGGCATACTTGGGTTTGTGTCAGTCGAACTTGGAATCTCCAATGAGCCGATAGGGAGTGATGTGGGTTCCTCTACTGTGGAATCAACCTCCCTATGTTGTCATAGGCGTTGTCATGTAAAACATTGAGGCAAGATGTGATGGAGGTAGCAAAGTGGGTGAGATAGGTAGGTCAGACACTAGATTAGACAAAGGAGCTGGAACAGGAAGTAGTATAGATTGTTCACTTCCTTCTTCAAAACACCCCCCTTGAGAAGAATCCCCCAACAAAAAGGTGACATCCATAGTAACATACTGACTCCCAGAAACTAGATCATAACAACAATACCCCTTCTGATTTCCTGCATACCCAAGGAAGACACACCCCTTTGCCTTAAGATCTAGCTTTGAGCAGTGAGATCTAGCTTTGAGCGGTGAGGACCAAGAATATGGGCAAAGCATACACATCCAAACACCCTTAAAGGAATATGGAATGTCTCCCCTTAGGAAAAAGAAGGTTGAAAGGAGTACATGGACAAAGATTTATCTCTTTGCCTAAGGTGATTAGCCTTGGACCTGAGCTGGTATTCCCTAGCAATAGTTAGGGCCTGCCATCCTGGGAATAAATCTAGGACACGCTATTCAAGATTTGTTTATCTGCTCTTATTCCACATCAATTGTAATCTCGGCGTAGTCCATGCTCCACAACAATCAGCAAATAAGCTACTAAGGATATCACATATTAAAAGTGGCTCTTTACTATCCATTGTATAGGGCAGATCCAACTTTTCTTGATTTTTTAATATTTACTCTAAGAATCTTCCTTGGGAAATCAATCTCTAGTCTGTCAAAATTGTTAGAAGTAGTTAATTGGGGTAGTATTGTCATTTTCATGTTATTCTTTCTCTCTAATATCTGTTGTAATTTTCCTAAGGGTATTGTAATCATTTCAGCCTTAGTAGAATGTTAATACAACCTGGGTTGATAGTAAGGAGATGTGAACAGATTTCTCCTTTCTTATTTTCCCTCTTTTCTTCTCCTTTTCTTCTTTTTCCCTTCCCTTTCTCTTCCTATCTTCTTCTCTTTCTTTCCTCTATCCTTTACTTCACTTTTTCTTACCTTATTAAAGTTTGAACATGGTATTAGAGCCTTGAGGTCGACTGTACTGTTCGTGGCACTGTTCACGTCCCAACTTTTTGTGCCCTAGGAATAGAGAATATTCTTTATTCTTTGTTGGAAAGGAAAAGGACTTAAGAGAACTGATCGCCCACTTTGAAAAGAGGCTTTAATGCCTCAAGTTGCAGTTTTGTGTGAGTTGGTGGTGTTTTTCTAAAAGCCCTCTATTTGGCAATTCGAAATGGGAAGATTTGTGATGTTTCGAGGTGTGAGGTAGGTGCTCCTCAATGTGTGGTGATTTTGTAGTGGTTTATGTTGTGGTGACACCTTATGGTAAGTATGCAATCTTTCCCAAGTGTTTCTAAAGTAGAAGGCTGATGTTTCTTGGTGTTTTTCCTAAAGAAAAATGTGTTATAGTAGTTGCATACTAGCTGTTTGATAGTTTGCCTAGGTGACAAATCAGTGATCCCCTCTCACTCATGGATTCATCAAATGGTAGCACTAAACCTACAATAGTTGTGCAATCAGATTTCATGACTTCTCAATTAACTATGGTGAAACTCAGTGGTACTAATTATATCCCATGGGCCAAGCCGGTTGAGGTATCTCTCATTCCAAGAGGCAGGTTGAAGTACATTAAGGAGGATCCATTGAAAAGTGAATCAGAAGATTTGGGACCATGCCAAGCAATTATACTCTGGACAAGACAATGTCACAAGAATTTACCAATTGTACTAAGACTATTTTTCTCTTCAACAAGGGGATAAAAGTGTTGACGAATACTATGCTTCTTGAAAAAGCTTAAGAAATGAGCTCAATGTTTATCAACCCCTATCCACTGATTTGAAGACTCAACAAGAACAACAAGAACATCTAGATGTAGCAAGATTTTTATCTGGGTTGAGGTCTGAATTTGAACTAGTGCGGGCCCAAACAATGTATGTTTTAGATATGTTGGATGGAACTAGGTTGTTAGTATCTAAGCCAGTTGAAATTCCCATGGATCCCAATGTGAAGATGACTAATGGTCAGGGGGAGCCATTAGAAGACCCTACAATGTATTAGAGACTAGTAGGCAAGTTGATCTATCTTACCATCACTAGGCTTGACATTTCCTTTAGTTTTGGAGTCCTCAGTCATTTCATGCAGAATCCAACAACTGCTCATTGGGATGGTGTTATGAGGGTGCTGAAGTATCTAAAGGGTGCTCCTAGTCAAGGGCTTTTGTATAAGAAGGGGGGAGATATGTCTCTGGTAAGGTACTCAGATGCAAATTGGGAAAGGTCTCCGATGGACAAGAAGTCTACTACAGGTTATTGTACTTTCTTGTGCGGAAATCTCATTACTTGGAAAAGCAAGAAGCAGAACGTAGTTGCTAGGAGTAGCATTGAAGCTGAATACAGGGCAATGGCCTATGCTACCTGTGAGCTAGTCTGGTTGAAGCATCTTCTTTGGGAGATGAATATCACAATTTGTCAACCCAATAAATTGTTTTGTGACAACCAAACTGCAACACATATTGCCTCTAATCCAGCGTTTCACGAAAGGACTAAACACATTGAAGTTGATTGCCATTTTGTGAGAGAGAAAGTGACAAGTGGAGAGGTTGTTACACCCTATGTTAAATCTGAAGACCAAGTAGCTAATATTTTTACTAAAAGTGTGGGTCGCTCAAGGATGGACTATATTTATAACAGGCTGGAACTTTATGATATATATTCTCCAGCTTGAGGGGGAGTGTCAAAATTGTTAGAATTAGTTAACAGGGGCAGTATTGTCATTTTCATGTTATTCTCTCTCTTATATCTGCTATAATTTTCCTAAGGGTATTGTAGTCTTTTCAGCCTTAGTAGAATGTTAATACAACCTGGGTCAGCAGTAAGGAGATGTGAACAGATTTCTCCTTTGTAGTCTTCCCTCTTTTCTTCTCCTTTTCTTCTCTTTCTCTTCCCTTTCTCTTCCTATCTTCTTCTCTTTCTTTCTTCTATCATTTCCTTCACTTTTTCTAACTTTATTAAAGTTGGAACATAATCAACATATCTTGAAGAATCATCTAAAGTCAGGCAAAGAAGACTAGATCAATCAGCCTTCAAATTATTCCATGCAGTTTTTGATTCTATAACTATATGGGCTTCACCGAGAACAGAGTTGCTCTAATACCAAATTGTGTTATAAACAAATAAAGGATCCCAAAATAATCTGTACTGAACTGAATCAAGAAAGAACAAGAAGAAACTGAAGAAAAAGAAGAGAGGAAGAAAGATTGAAGAGAAGAGAAAAAATGGAATACAGAGAAAAAAACACAATTGTGGGGTTGTTGTGTAGCCCAACTATTTTACATATTAAATGCAATAAAAAACCTGAAATTTACAAAAGAATATGCCCATAGCTATGAAATAGCAACAATCAATGGCCCTAAAGGCCCAATAAACAGACAATGTCCCAAAAAATAGCAAATGTATACCCCATATCTTAACAGTAAGTATAAAAGTTCTATTGTGTTTCAATTTGTGCATGCTGATGTATGGGGTCCCACTAGGATCACACCCTTCTTTATTTTCTGCAACTTCATTACTTTCCTTGAAAGTACTCCCATTAAAAGCTGAGGAAGTTCCAACCATTGTTAGGAATTTTCATAAAATGTTCAATACTTTGACAAAAACATCAATTGTTGTGACTAATTATCATGGAAACTATTTTTCTTTAAATACATTCATCAAAGACAACTAAATATCATAAAGACTCTTGATTTTTCTTAGTAGTGCTTGATTCTACTGTTCTGAACTTTCAGGTTTCTTCTGCAGTTCCTGAAGGTAAAGGGGTTTCTTCTTCTGCAGCAGTGGAGGTTGCTACCATGTCTGCAATAGCTGCTGCTCATGGTCATTATGTTCATCTACTTCTGTCCACCAAGTCCTTTACTAGTTTTGATTTTCCTTTGATTGCATATCTTATATTTATTATTTGTTCAAGTCACACCCATTTTGGATCCTTATTCCTGCAGTAATTTTTAGAACTTGAAAAGAACACGATGTTATGGTTCATATGGTTCAAGGATCTATCTCCCCCCCCCCCTGGACTCAATGGTATCTTTTCCTCTCTATTAAGGAGCTGTTGGTTTCTTTTGGTTTTCACATCATCCACTGTTATAGAGAAACCAACGCCGTAGCTGATGCTCTGGAAAATTTTGGGTGTGATTCCTCCTAGGATAATCTCTTTGTCACATGGAACAGCTTACCTACTTCAGTCTATAATGTGTTATGGGCCCGAGCGTAGGATCGCGTCACGGGTCGTTCCACGGCAGGAACCCCTGATCTTCCC